CTTTTTAAAACTGGCCTCAGACAAAAAATATATAATTTTTTAACAAAATAACACAGAAGGAAGAGCTGCTTTGGGTCCAGCTTGGTCCAACTCTCAGCGCCGCCACAGCTGAGGACAGCTGGCCCACTGGCCCACTGCGGTGCTCCATGAATAAACACACCTACGAAGTTCAGACCAATCATACGCTCTGAGCCGCAACATCTGCATCTCAGAGTTCTGACTGGGGCCAATTTACTGTACAGGACAGCTGTCACCGGGGATAGCAGCGGGAGAGCAGACAGAGGTTGTGCAACTTTTTGTCACTCAGCAGGGGGGTAAAAGACGTGTGACTCGAAGTAAAAACCAGCCTTCAGTCTAGTGTTCTTATTCAAGTCTATGGCCTAAATCAATTTATACTCACATCAGACTGAGGTTCATCCAGGTCAATCTGCAGGTCACCTTCTACAAGTGGTTGTGCTTTTTGTTTCTACCAGCTAAAATAAACACACGTAAAAGAGAATATTTAAATATGCTGTGATAAAACATTTTTTCATTATTATTTTGACACCATTGACCACAGTATTCTCCTTAAAAAACTGAACAAATACGGTATTAGGGGACCAGCACTACAGTAAGTATCTAGTTATCTGAGAGATAGAAAACAGTTTGTACAAATAAATGATGTAAGATCTGATTTTAGTTTCACATGTGGAGTTCCTCAGGGTTCTGTACTTGGATCAACGTTGTTTATACTGTATGTGAATGATTTGGTAAATGTGTCAGAGTTTTTCAAATGTGTATTATTTGTAGAAGATATTACATTTTTCTGCTTGGGTAAAGATATAGAAATGATGCAAACGGAATTTGTTAAAATACAGACTTGGTTTATTAATAATATTAATATGYGTCTCATTGATGTTGGCAGGTTTCATGTAGGCTTCTGACATTCTGTTTTTTATTTAAGATATAGTTGTTGACTGTTTTGGTCAAAACTATTTAATTTCATAAGTGAACATATGTAAATACACAGTGAGATTTAGAAAATTGCATCAATAAATATCCTCCCTTGGGTCTTAGCCCTGTTGGGGGCTAAGTACTCCTAAATGTCAGATCTTAGAGTCGCCCCGGTCCTCTGGTATGTCGTGTCTATTCGTATATTGTATAAACAATGATAATGATGGTGGGCAATAATGACCAAAAAATGCATGAGCCCGAGCCGTTTTTTGGTCCCAGTCCAGCCCTGGCAGTGGTTGGCACATTTTGCTAACAGAGACAGGGTTGACTTCCACAGTTAAGGACTAAGATTTCAACAAAGTGTTCTCACAATCTGTYAGAGCTCTAAGGGTGTGTTGGAGGTGACTCTCAGCTACAATCGCACCACGTTTTATATCAATAKCTATAAAATTGACTGACTTGTAGCTATTTGTGTTTGTTAAGATGAAATAACCACAGTGAAMCATCAGTTTGATTCCAAAGCTCCACATCCAATAATTACTTTGAGCGTTTCTATAAACTCCATCCACCTGTTTATAAAATATTTTGCACATATGCAACATTCTTTTCTGCTCTTCTGCAATACAGGGTAGGTAAATGCAAAACAAAAAACAATTTTCACACTAAAAATGACTAAGCAAGAAACAAACTATTTTTTAATGCTAACAAATAATTTAGATTTTTAACAGTTTGTATTCTTATTTTCAATATTCAGATCTTAATATAGAAGTAAACAAACACTAAAGAAAGCTCTAGAGACTCACTTTAATAACTCCAGCGTCATAGTGCCTTTAGGCTCTGCTTCCACACTTTTGCCCCAGAACTTCAGTTTTGGGTAGATTGAGCCGTGAAACTCAAACTCCTGCTTCAGAGACTGAACGTGGAAGGCACTGATTGGGGGGTGATGGCTCACCTGCTCTGAGATCAATCTGTATCCCTCCTCCTCTCTTCAAAACAAAAAAAAAAAAGAACACAAAAAGCCTCACACACATTAAAAATAAATTTAATCTGAGCAGAATAACCTCATCGTTAGAGCACAGTTAAACATCGGTGTCCTCTCAGTACCTTGTGAGTTCAAATGTCTCCCCCAGCAGAGGATTAAATGGCTTTCCAGTCCGTTCCCACTGAGACGCAACAGCTGAAACAGCGAAAGCAGCAACAACCTGCCATGSAGACGAGAAGACATTATTCTATTTTTTATACATGTCTTTGCTCCTGCTTTTAAACGTAAAGGCAACTTTTGCTAAGCATCAATAAACAGAAAGTTCTGAAGATTCTGTTATAGAAGTGAAAATGAGCGGTCTCTACCTGCATGCGGTCTATAGAGTCAGATAAGCTGCAGGCCTTGTGGATGAGGTGAGTGTGCTCCATGTACTCAGAGATTCTCTGGAGAAAGCTCAGCGGCTCGTTGAACGCAACGGGCATGGCTATTTTAGACAGCTCCTGGAATGACATGATGAGAGATTACAAACCATAGAATCATCCCAAAACAGAGTCAGAACCAACCCTGCTTCTTATTACTCAACTACAACCAGGCTGGTTCCAACACAATCCTCCTGTTTTAAGACACTAACATCACAACAACATTTACTTCCCAGCAGGTTTAAGTTGTACAGAGCAAATAAAAATGTTTGGCAGACTTATATACAGTGGGGAAAATAAGTATTTAGTCAGTCACCAATTGTGCAAGTTCTCCCACTTAAAAAGATGAGAGAGGCCTGTAATTGACAACGTAGGTAGACCTCAACTATGAGAGACAAAATGTGAAAAAAAATTTGAGAAAATCATTTTGTCTGACTTTTAAAGAATTTTTTGCAAATAATGGTGGAAAATAAGTATTTGGTCAATAACAAAAGTTCATCTCAATACTTT